TCATACTCCGCTCACTAAGGCTGCTGCCTTTGCCTGCACAGTCCCCAGCTCCCTGGCACATCTCCTGGCTGTAAAACACAGCCACCAGCAGAAACTTGTGATAAGCCTCAGCGTGGGTCCAATCCCACAGTTAATGGAGTCAGAGAAAAACTATACTGAGCTGGGACAAATCTGTAAATTTAACCCCCATCTTTTGTATCATCTAACAGTATGTCAGAAGACCATAACACAGCCTGAAAGAGGGTAAGACAATGTGGTTTCCTGAGACTGGGAGGGACTGGAGCCAGTGACCCAGGAGGTCCCATCCCTTCCCATGCTCTTCTTTTCTTTCCATGCTCCCTTCTTGCTGTTACACATCTAAATTTAGGCTGTAAACTAATTTTAACTGTAAGGGGCATGGGGTTGACTCTTTTGAGTGTCTGACACACTGTAGGAGCAGGGTAACTAAAACACAAATGCTTATGTAAATTCATCTTTGATTTTGTAATCAATTTAGTTCACTAATTTGTTGCAGGGATTGGCTGAAGTAACATGCCAGAATTTTTACTGCCTCTGCCATAAAACTGACAAGCGTAGGTTTTCTGTTTTTGTTTTTACTTCCTTTCAAGTGTAATAACTTCCCTTTTCATAAAATGCCAACATATTCTTTTAAAACTGTCAGGCTGCCATCAACCTGGTCATGATCCAGTGCCAGGCCATAGCCAGACAAGATGAGTTACAAGGTAATCTTTTCCCTGCCAAACAATACAAAGATATTGGCACCTTTCTCACGGCTGCAAATCAGCTCAAAGGGCCACAGAAATCAGAAACCCAGGAATCGCTTCTTCCTCCTTTTGGTGTTTGCCTTGCAAGAAAAGTGGTGCTCTGCAAGGAATCTAATGTTTTCATTAACAGCACCCTGGCTTCTTCCCTTTCTCCAAGCCTTTTCCTCCACTAAAGTCCTGGATATGATTTTAATGAAATTGAGGACACCCTCCCCCTCTCCAAGTTACACACTGGATTCCTGAACGCTGGTTTCAAGGAAACACTACTCCCAAAATGAAATACGAAGCAGCTGCACAGCTTTGGCAGGGGAGCCTGCACAAATGCCACCAAAGAATGAATCACTCTCTCAACCTCACTGGAAGTGTATCAATATTCCTATTCAGGAAGGCCATCCAGCAGTGGAGACCATCCCTTACATAATGTAGAAAAAATAGCACAAAAGGTCACAGAACTGGAGGATTGATCCCATTTTTTCATTTGGCTGCCAGGGAAAGTCAGGCTTTTCAAAGCTCCTCTGCTGGTAAATCAACACATCAGCACAGTCAGAGTTTTAAGACAGATCTTTAAAGCAGTGGTAGTTTCACCTGATTCTGAGACTGCACTTACGTCCTTTGCTGCAGCAATCCCTCCGAATTCCTTTTGCTTTTGAATTCTTTGAGATGTATGTGGATGGTACCGAACTTCCACCTCCTTCTTCCATCCCCCATTTGCGATTCCAAAAGAGGACATGCCAGCCTCTTAATTTAATAGCTCTGAAAGGGCCTCAAGAATTGTGATGGAAACAAGTGTCTCCATGCAGTGTTTCCTGGGATAAGTGCAGAACTGGCAGGTTTGCACACGCAGAGATCAGGTAGGGATTGCGAGAAGATCCAATTAGTGCTTCTGTGAGAATGCACTTTTTAAAAACCATTTTCAGTTGTATGACCATACAGAACACAGTCACCCCAGCACCACCAGTGCATCAATCCTTGCTCACACCAGTTTACTGAGCAACACAGTATTTATGGCGCCCAAGCTGAGCAAAGTCAGCCTGGACTCTGCTGGAGACCCCCTGGTTTTCCCTTTGCCTACCTGGCACCACTGGGAACAGAGATCCCGGGGGCCAGACCCTGCCTTCAACTCAGTGTGTTTCCAATAAGGCAGAACAAGGGCACATTAAAGGCAGGATTTTCACCCACGGTAGCAAAACGGTTAATAATGCCAAGATTTGTTCCCAAACAGAGACAGCCGCACTCGCTGGCAATGCTTGCAGCAATAAAAGTATAAATATTAATTCTTTCACAACAGCGAGCATATAGGGATATGTTATCAGGTATTTGCTGATAATGCTGTGTTATGGAGCGATAATGGTATGGAGGAAAGGTGACATTTTTTTAGAATGATTTTTCAGAGTAGAAATGTCCTCTGCAAAGCACTGGGTTAACTAATATGTTACTGATAGTTATTGCTATAATGACTGGCTATTAAAACAGATATCCACACGTGGTACTCGCAAAAAACACCCATACAACAAGCAATAGTGTCCATCACACACACCCTTTTTGAAAAGTGAGGCTCTCATTGGAATTTAGTCAGCTTTGGGCTCTACACAAACTATTTAGCAACAGACAGCAGCCATTTACTAGAGAACTGCAGCAAGGTATTATCTTTGGGAAACCTGGCTTGGAATTTCCAGCAGTAGGTTACAGGTCCCCGAACTGGTAAGGGCACATAACTCCAGTACTCACAATACAGTGTTTGCACCCTTTAATCCAACACAAAGTATCATTAGAAAGGTAATGTTTGCAGTCACGTTAGAAATCCCAAAGCATGCAATATTACAGCGATGGCAGCTGAATATCAAACACACTGTTTCAAGGTATGAGGTTTGGGACAAGCACACAGACTGGGATAGGAAAAGTTTTGCAATACTTCAGCTCAATTGTTCCGGAATCATGAAAAGAATGATTAAAGAAAATAGAAAAGAAAGGGGACACAGCTCACTGAAAGCATGAAGTGATTTAGGAGTTTGTCTAGTTCTGCTTAGGAAGCCAAACGAACCACTCACCAAGGGAAAATGATATCCAGTAAGGAAAGGAAATCAGATGAATACACAATTTACACACCGTCCAGATAAGAGATATTTACCTTCAGATAACTTGAAATTCAACAACTGAAATCAAGTATTTCCGGTCTCCAAAACTCTTGTGACTTAGACCAACATCTTTATAGCTCTAATTCATGTAGTTTGAGATGAAAAAAAAAAAAAAAAAAGAAAAAGGAAAAGAAGAAAATCAAACAGAGCTTGAGGTACCTACACTCCAACTCCATCTGTTACTGGATACGCAGCAAGATAAGGTACAGTCAATAAGGAAGTCCTCAGGCAATCTTCTGCCTATAGAGCACTCCAAACAAAGTAGTCCTCTTTTTCTTCCTCAGTATATTTCATTTGAAATGTTTAACTAGAAAATGGGATTAGATTAAAAACAAATTTCCAGGGAGAGCTGCACTTAGGCTGCAGTCCAAAGCCCAGTGAGAAACATTAGACATGCAAGCCATGATGATGGAGAAACCAAATTTCCACTCTTAAATTATATAGTAAAATTAGCAACAAATCTACTCAAAAAAAAGAATTTAAATATATTAGTGGTTAAGCAGCACTTTCCTTTCTGATGACATAATGCTGTTCTTTACATCAAATCCAGCCTCACTCAAGGGTTGCTTTTGACATTAAAGTGGAGCCCAATAGTATGAAAGTACATTAAAACTGGTGTGAAGTTGAATTTTATATGCTCTCCCAGACATCTTGAAAAAAGTGGTCAGGGTTGTCTTGGTGTTATTGAAACCCAGTTTCTTTCCTAATACATGAAACTGTACCCACTGGATCTCGGTGGGTCAGGAATCAGCACCAGAATCATTCTCCTCTCCATCTTTGTGCAAGTCTCAGTGAAGAGTCCTCTCCTAATGCCAAAGAACTCAGGAGGACAAAGTATCAACATTCCCATTTTGCACATCGTGCCAACAGCCTGGAAGGTTTTAGACAAGAGCATGTGGAGGGGTGTGAGGCAAAGGGAAAAGCCTGCAGTGTGTCCACCAGTGAGCTCAACATCTCTTGTAAAGGGGGCACTGGTTTGATGCCAAAGTTCTGATAACATACCAAACACATAACTAAGCTAAAAGACAAATCTTATAAAAGACCAATCTATCTCCTCTCCTAAGGAAAGGACTCACTCTTCCCAGGAAATCCCATACGCTGTAGGATGTACAGAGAGTGAGCATTCATTTGGGCAAAGCCTGAGGTGCTGCTGCACCTACAAACTCAGTCTGGTTCTTGCCTCAGAGAACTTCCAAATACAGAGGTCAAGAGAGACAGGTAAAAAGCCAAAAGGGACACAGGGGCAAAGGAGAACAGCCTTGTAGAGGTACCTGCAACAAGCTGCAGACAAAACTCTGTAGGCATTCCTCAGGTGCAGGCTAATAAAGATCTTGAAGGACAAGAACATAATACGTGATTTTGTATCAGAATCCTCTGACACACAAACAGCAGCAGTAGAAGGGAAGCTTGACATATTCAGCATATGGCAGTGCACAGTTTTTAACAGAAAAATAACAAAATAGCTCTGGAAATGTCACCAACATACCTTGAGCACAGAGTGATATTTTTAAATTATCTATATTTGTTTTGACATTTCAGCCTTTACTATTTACATACTCTCTAACATTAATGTTGAATCAATCTGGCTTTATTTTAGCGGGCAACACTTTATAAACACTCTAAACGTTCAAGTTTCCTCAAAAATGCCTTCAACATGCAATTTGGATGGCAGCCAGGTGTGAAAATCCACCTCTGGCTGAAAAGTACTAAGAAATGGAATGAACTTTGGAATGGAGAATATGTGAAGTTCAGTTACCCAAGTCATGAAAAATACAGCAAACATGCAGAGTAGCTGGTGTGCCATCTCACACAGGCTGATTGCCTAATCCACCTTTCTTTGGTGGACACTTGCTCATAGCAGACTGGTGAGTATAGCAGTGCCAGGGCTGTGAGTCACATTCACACCCCAGTTCAAACTTTCAATGTATTTAACAGATTTGCCATAAAGAAGAAACAGTCCCATAACAACGTCACAGTCAGACCCCACACCCCAGGCACCCTACAAATAGGAGGGGATCACTTTCTGCAACACAAATGGGAGGGAGAGAACCCTAAACACTCTTTGAAACACCCAGCTAGTAAGTTTTAAAAAGTAGTTTACCTTGCACATCCCTTTCCTCCGATGCTCCACCGGCACGGCCGAGCTCCGGGCAGCACAGTGGTGATTCCCTCCACTCCAGCTCCAAGGGCAGTTGCAAACCTTCACAACCGTGTTCTGCCCTGGCTCTTTTGCTTCAAAGAGAAAAGAAAAAATTAAAACAGAAAAAAAGTTAAACAGGGCACAGAATTAGCACTGTCCTTTTCACTCTGTGGTGGAGCAGGAATGAGGATCAGCTTCCTTGCAGAAATCCTCTAGAAGAGAAATAATATTTTTCTTGTTCCTCTTCATAGGGGTTTGAAACATGATTGGATTTTAGGAGCTGAACCAACAGGAGAGGAAAAGTGTTCTCACAACTAAGTGCTTTCCTTGCATTATTTCCTAGCATTTATGGGACAGAAAAAAACCCAGAATAAAGTGACTGCCCTGCCTCACCTGGTCATTATTAGAGTTAATCAAACTAGAGAGGCCACACCATCCAATTTAAGCAGAAATACGGAGGGAAATAATTTTTTTTTTTTAAACTATTTTTCTTTCACTGCTTTTTAGGAAGAAGAGGGTAATCAGAAATTGTCACTTTCTCACTGTGTGGACAGGCTAAAGCCAGAACTGACATGTTTAACTTGGGAGGAGTAAAGGTGAGATTTCTGGTGAATGGCAGGAGTCAGTTAAAAACTAAACACCTGTCATATTAAGTAGAAAGAAACCTGCTGTCTACCAAAACTACGGAGCAGAGTCTGACCTCACCTACAGAGAAGTTGAATTACAGGCTATTTGTTACAACAAACAGAAAAATCCCAGGGGACCCAAGCCAGGAGTCAGGCTGGGCAGCCAGGCTGGGCAGTGTGTCACAGCTCTCTCCCCACAGTGACAACCTGTCCCTGGTGCAAAGAGCAGCCCTTGCAAGGAAAAATGTGTTCCTTGCCCAGCCAACCTCCTTTTTCTCTCTTGGCCCCAAAGCCAGGAGGAAGACAGTTCTCCTGCTGTTCATCCCATAGGAAGTGCTGCACCTTTTCATACAGGGAATGGGAAATAAAATGTTACACATGAAGTGCAGATATCCTTCAGAAACCTTCAGATGGGAAAGGGTAGGCCTGTCAGTGGGAAAAAACTCTGTAATACACATAAATGGTCACAGTGAAGTGAGGCATGCCCTTGCTGCTTTGTTGTCCTTCACCAGACAAGCAAATTACAGCAATGTCACTATTTTGCAAGGTGAAAAAGCATTTCTTACCATCCTGAGTCTCTAAATGATCATCTGGAGACGCTTCCCAATGACCAGCCCTCAGATCTAACGTGGCAAGAAGCAGGACCTGCCTCAAGGAGGGCAGGGCACGCAGTCGCTCCTTGGAACGCAGCCTATCACCCGCTGTGGTTTTGGCTAGTTGATGAGAGAGCATGGCCACATTTCCCTTCTAAACCAGAAACAAGGCTTATGGCATCAGAACTGTTACAGCAGGGCAACAGTGGTAGGAAAGAGGAACATGCTCTGTGATCCCTTGACGAAGGAGGGGTGGGCAAACAGACCCCAGCTTGGAAAAGAAGTGTCTAAAACTGAGCCAGCTTAGGCCAAACACCTTGGATGCCCTGAACAAGGTCTGCACAAGAAATGGCAGATTAAACTCCATCCACATCTAGAGAAGTCAAGTGTAAAAAAAGAACAACTCATGTTCTGCTTCAGCATGCAAACCTAGAGGGACACAGAGAAAACCCCTCCAATATGTCATCCAACTTCTGCTGCTGCCAAAAACACAGAGGAACTGAAAACAAGTAGTTTTGCACCTTTTTTGCTTTCCATACCATGTCAATATGACAGAACAAACTCAGGAAGTAATTTGGAATACGACAAATGCCACATAAGAGCTACTACTGCTGCCTCTGCAAGGACTGGTGATGATCCATTAGAGAACTAAGACAGCATAGAAGGCCAGTCACTGCCTTCCATATACAAACTGAATATGTTATAATTATATTAATCTTCTTACTTATAAATCAAAATTTTAATTGAAGGCCTAGTTAATCGTAGGAAGCAATGGCAAGTATAAGCCACAGCCCACTTGCTTGCCAGTGTATTTAAATACCATTACCAAAAGTGCATGCATACAGCTGAAAGGTAGAACAGCTATAATTGAGGGGGAAATTTGGCCTCGTCTCTAAAATCAAGCAAAAATGATAGTTAGATTCATATTAAGTAGAAAAAAAACCCCCAACCATTAGTTTCCTAGTTTAAACCTCTCACTGAAAACACACTTTAAAATCTGATACTAAACAGCCCAGCCATAGTCCTGGTAGAAAATACAGCACTACAGATGACACACTGGGAAAAATAAAACAAAATTAACATACCAATGTTTGTGGCTGGACCACTGTACCATTACTGGCATTTTGCTTATGTAGTGATTCCATTGGTGTTTTGCATTACATGGCAAAACCATAGGTTCCCCTTCTAAGAAAAGAACTGTTTATTGTGCCAAATGGTACATCTGGAGAGAAGTACTGCCAGCCTGCAATGATAACAACAAAAAAAAAGATTAATCCAGTGCCTGCTGGCAAGGTTCCTAAATGATGATGCACCTCACAATATTCCTATTAAGAACCATATTTTGGTAATGTATTGCCTAAAGCTGGAAGGCTGGAAAGCATTTCTAATCCATTATTCCATGGCTTTTTATTTTTTTGGCAAATCTTACGGCTGCAGGGGAGACGACTGTGGTTTTGGCGAGATAACATGTATTATTAGTGCTTTGCTTTATTTTTTTAATTAAGTGATTCTGTTGCCTTTGACTGTCAGAGACACTATCAGGCACAGAAATCGTTTGATCATCAAATGAGTAATTTCAAATGTAGCCTTTTGCCTGATAGTGTGGATTTAGTGTCATGGGGTATTTATGGTTCAGTACATGCATCAGAGAAAATGGGTAGAAAGGACCTTTTAGGTCGCCCATGGTCCATTTTAACACGTACTTCCCAAGTGTATTACCACAGAAAGTCCAGTTGTCCCTTCCAAACAGTGACTTCTGCCACTCCTCCTTGAGGTTCCTGCACAGGTCAAGCTGCTCCTGGCAATGGGATTCCTGCAGGAGGAACCTCAGTGCCCCTTGTTACAGGGGCTCTGCGTGGCTGAAAGTCTGCCACCGTGCATGAAGCCCTGCAGTGGAGCAGACCTCCAGCCAAAGCTTTACATTCCAATTATACCTCCTTTTTAGCAGGGCTTTCTTCCTGACAATTTCACTGAAAGGAAGCAAAACCATCCCAAGCGTTTTAGAGCTCACAGAGTGAGACAGACAGCAGCCAGGTCTGCTGATCAACCCCAGTGACACAAAACACAACCTCTGCTCGCAGAAGGAGCCCAGCAGATGCTGTGGAAGATGCTACTGCAGCAAGGCAGACGAGTGATTCAGGGTAGGTTTAAGACATAACCAAGCCCACGTGTCCCAGCAGACAGGGCAGGGGCACAGAGATGCCTCGGAGCAAAGCTCTGTGGTGCCTGAGCTGTACCCAACCACCCGAGAGCACAACCAGGCAGACGTGCAGCTCCTCCAGAAGCTGTAGGGGCTCTCTGGTTTTCAGGTTTGCAACTTACAAAAGGCCATCCAAAGAATAGGAACGATGATTTTTCCACTAAAGGTGAGTGATTTTCCAACTGAAATACCTCCCTGATTCGGAGGTTCTAGGCATGCTTTCTGGAGTTCTTGGAAAGAGCCCCACCTTAGAGGTCTTGGAGCAGAAGTTCACCAAAACATGTCTCTGGAGTTGTTCACAACCAGTCTGAAGTAGTCTGTGGAGCATATTAAATACTCAGCGGAGGAAAAAAGATGATGTCTTTTCCTAATAAGTATTTCACCCCAGAAAATTCCAGAGTGCAAGCTGACAAAGCTGAGGTAGGATATTTCAGGGATGACACATCAGTGCACATCAGTGGCAAAGCAGACACAATACAGGTGAAGTATTTGAAATTCTGTCAAAGCTTACGGGTTATAATTACACTCGTGCTGCTTTCTTAGGGCTGGGAGGGGTGAGATGTGGCTCTCAGGGTTCCACCCCTCAGAAGCTGCCTTTATGTGTGAAATTTCTCCTCAGTTAGAACAAGGACACTCACAGAGTGGGCTCAGGGGACTGCTGGTTTCAAAGGGCACATACACGGCCCCATGGCATCACTGCTCCTTTGGGTGTGTGGGAGCATGCTGCAGAACACCTGCAGGGGAGATGTACCTCTCCAGACCTTAGCTAGCTAATTACCACCATCCACAGCATCCATGATCACTGATAGAGTTAAACCCATCCCTTTCAGAAGTCTCTGTCGTCCTCTCGCTCACAGGGACAAATTGCCAGGCGTCACAGGAAGCTTCCATGTACCACCATGTGAAGAGTGTAAATCACAGCAACATTTATCAGCGCTTCCCACAGCTGGGAGCACCTCCTCATAAACCCACCATGCACAGTAAAGGACAGACTTGAAGTCTGCAAATGAGTCAAGTCTGGCAAACAAACTCACCTGTCCTCCAAATATATTGACATTTTTCATCTCGCACAGCAGTTCCTTTACTTTCCCAAAGATCAGAATTTTTACATTCCAGGAGGTAGTTTTCAGGAGCGCTCTCTAGTTCCTTCCTGAAGAAACATGTTAGAAAATTGATCTTATCTAAGTTATTTCCTTCTTTGACACGGAATATTTGTGGAAATTTGAACAAATTTGACTCAGAGCAGCATCCCTGTCAACAAGGGAATGAGGGGAGTTAAGACACAGGCTATGGAACTTCCCAAACAGCTTTGGGGGCTCATCTCTACAAAGTCTTTTATTATTTGTTTACTTTTAATGCCCAGATCTGTGCTTCATTTTATTGAACAATCAGCTCTAAAGTCTTCCCAGGGGCATTTAACGTGATTCTCTTATTTTAGCGTCAGACATCAAGTCCATAAGTACAGCTCTCATGTCATGCATCGTGAATTTCTGATTAACTTATTTTTATGCGGCGAAAATGTTGTATTTCCTGAAAAACAATGTAACAGCAAAAGAACAAAGTTCACCGTGAAAATAGATGTGGTGTGGTTTTATCCTATGATAATGTAAAAGTTCCTTAATATTTAACTTTCATAATAACAGCTGAATTAGACACATGCTTCCAAAGACTAACTGTTCCAAGCCTGGCTATTTCACAGATGGTGGATGCAAAGATTAAGTGACTGCCTGAAAAGTAATACAGGAAGTTTGTGGCAGAGCCAAAAACTGATTCAAGGACTCCTGATTTCTATGGGAACCACAAGGCTATTGTGCCTTCCAACTGGTGTTATTATTTGGTACCTGTATACAGCGTTTGCACTCACCATTAAAATTGCTCTCAATACCTTTAGAAAACACCAGCTCTTACCTCCAACAGGCCCCATGTTTGGCCTCACCAGCCCTAATGGTCCCTCAAACGTGGATGGAGCCCCAGGAGCATCTCCCACCACACACCCAGCACTGGCAGCCCCCCCTCCTCAGTCCCACGAACACAACCCCACAGACCCCCTCCTCCCACAGCCTCCTGAACACGATGTGCCTGCAAATCTGGCAGCATGGCATGGAAGTCTCACCTGTGCAGTGGTGTCTGCAAGGTACCTGTGGTTCAGGAGCCCTTCCCAGCGTGGTCTGGGGGACCCACACCCACCCGGCACCCAGCAACTCCCATCGCAGGAACGAGCTGCGGGTGCTCCCGGAGGGACCTCTGCAAATGTATCTTTGCAGAGCTTCAGTTCCAGGGAAAAAAAAAAACCCCAAAGCTTTCACCTTTCATTTGGGATAGCTGAGAACATGGAAAATGAAAGACTGCAAGGGAGAGATGCAGGCAAACACAGCCGGCTGTTACCGCTCATGTTACTGCGTGCCCTGCGCAGCCTCCCCGGTGTGATTTGTCTGCAGCTGCACAGCACGGCACAAACACAGCCCAGGCACTGCAAAAATACAGCCCAGGCACTGCAAAAATACAGCCCAGGCATTGCACACCAGTGTGTCCTGGCACTGATCACCGTGAAACAGCTGCTGCACCTCGTGTCCACATGGCACTGCCTCGCTCAGGGTCTGCCTAAGTCAGATCCTGATGTGCCAGAAGCCATCAACTCCAGCTTCCACACATCTGCTAAAAGTGCTGAGGGGAAAAAAAAACAAACTTGAAAAATGTCTGTATAGAGCAATAAATGAATATGGAAGTCCATAGCGCATCTAAAAATCTAAAATTAATCACTATTTTTAAAATAGCCGTTATTCATCTTTTAAAAATGTCTTAATTTTCACAAACACACATACCTGTGTTTATTGTTCTGTAAACCAGCTCATCCAGATTTGTTTCTATTAGCCAGATTCCATAACTTACAGTGGATCAGAAATGAAAAGCTGGATCCTGTCAAAGGATGCCAGAAAACTTGTGATTAAAAAAGATTTCAGGGATGAAGTTTCCCAAGTAACCACAGCAAAACCACATATTGATCACTTGAGCTCAGCACTCTCCCTTTCCCAAGGGAAAGGACTGTTTACATCAGTTTGAGAGGAAGTGGTAGAAAGAATGACTGTAATAGTGCCCTGTCCAACATTATTTCCTGGCGCTCTCAGCATCTGCTGATGTTTGAAGTGCCTGTGCACAAAGTGTACCTTTGCTGAACTTCTCAAAATATGTGAAATCTCAACTTTTCTTGGAACAACAAAATCAAAATTAGGTGATCATGGATATGTAAAACCAATGCCACCTTCTCCCTCTCTCTCCGTCCACCAGCAGTAGCCAGCAAAAATTTGTGTTTGAATCCCACCAGCACCAGTGGAAATGTGTTACTCAGTAACCTTAGAACAGAATTTATTTAATTCATTTCTATTCCCTGTCTCCAGTCAGAATAGTTCCCATAGAAAACTCAGGAAGCTGTGGAATGACCATGACAGCAAAGGGAAAGAGTATTACCATGAGAGACCCTACAGTGATCTCTTGTCAATATTACCATTTGCACATTCTTTTTTAATATAGACATAGAAATTGTGAGGAAATACTCCTTTCCAACAATGACGTTTATTTCTATGGAATGACAGGAGATAGCAGGAGCACAGGGAGTGAAACAGAGGGCATCTGCTTGGCATTCGGTGCCTGATAGTCGCTAATGTCGTGGTTGGAAAAGTTTAATCTAGACTTTGCCTTAAAAGAAAGAGGGGAAAATAAGGGTAATAAATAAAAAGAGATATGTGACTGTGGTGGAGGAACCCTTGTGATCCTGCACTGGGAGAACTATCAGTGGATTCGGCACTCCAGGAGAAGGAGCACTGCTCTTCCCTCCATGCCAGCTTCCACATAATCTTCCCCCCCATCTCCAGCACATCCTTCACAGCAACAAGCTGTCCTTGGCATGACCCATGTTTCCAGCTAGTAAAATCCTCCTCTCTTCCCCCCATTCCCTCAGAAGGCATCACTTTTCTATTTTAAAAATATCAAGTCACCCTATCTCAGCTGCATTATAAACAAAGACAAACAAAACAACCCAAAGCAGTTTTGTGTGTGTGGAACAAGAAAAAAAAAGCACTTCAAACCCAAAGAAGTTTCCAATAAGTCACTCATTGAAATTCAGGAAGAAAAAACCCCAAAGGGTAAAAATACCCCCACGTATCCAAGTTCTCTGAGGCCATTTCTTTCCCTCATCTGTGTTCCATCATCTTCTTCCTTATCCAAAAAAGTTGTGGTGTCCGTGGGAGTATGAAAAAACATTGGTGTGACCACCGAGAGGAACTCTCTGTCTGGCAGCACAAAGCCACGCGTTATCCCGTCTTCAGGAACCCAGCCCTGCTCCGACGGTCATAAATATTCTCTGATGACAAAGCAAAGGGTGGTCATTCATCCACACTGAATAATACTGGAAAACCCTGAAAACCACACTGGGATCTGTGCTCTGTCCCCAGCACCCAGTGCTGCCACCTCCACCCTCGGTGGAATCCAGGCAGGAATGCTGGGCTTCTCCCTCTCAGAGGTCCCAACCCACCTGGTGGCCATTGCATTTACCTCAGGACAGTCTCAGCCAGAGCAGCACCGCAAGAAGGACTTTGGGGTTCCAGAGGGTGAGAGGCTGGACATGCCCCATCCCAGAAATCCCCTGTGTGCTGGGCTGATCCCACAGCGTGGGCAGCAGGTGAGGGGGGTGATTCTGTCCCTCTGCCCCCTCAGGTGAGACCCCCCTGCAGAGCTGCTCCAGCCTTGGGGAACAGCACAGGAGGGACATGGAGCTGCTGGAGAGAGTCCAGAGGAGGCAACAAGATGAGCAGAGGGATGGAGCAGCTCTGCTGGGAGGAAAGGCTGGAGCAGTTGGGATTGTTCAGCCTGGAAAGAGAAGGCTCTGGGTGACCTGACTCTCCCATCCAGTACCTAAAGTGACCCTGCAGGAAAGACAGAGGCAGACTATTTACCAGGGCCTGGAGTGACAGGGAGCTTTCAGAGCTTTACAAAGCATTTATCCACGTGTTTTCAAAAGGGACGATAAAATAGAAAAAAAAGACTCATTCCACTACTAACTTCACACTACACTGCATAATCAAAGATCTCCCAGTTTTCAGGAGAGTGTTACTCGACATCTTGTTGCATAAGCACTCTGCTTGTGTGAGCAGATCTGAGTATGATCAGTAAGGTACGTCACAGGCTGGCAAAAGTTACTGATGAGGAAGTTATCTTTGTGACCAACCTTCCCTTAGTCAGTGGGGAAAAAAAAAAGTTCTAAGTGTAATTCACTCTCCACTCTGCTGGTCTCCCCTTCCATTTTAAGGTCCCAGCCTTAAAATTAACATATTTACAATGAATAAATAAACAACCACTCTATGCTTACCTGTATGCCTTCTCCTCTTATGCTAGTCTTTTAAATTCGATTTAATCTTGCCACTCAAGGTAGAAACAAGTAATAGAGCAACCTGTTTATTAGTCAGCGCAGTTTGAGAATTCTGTTGGCATTTCTGCCTCTGAGGACGTGAGGGGTTGTTGACACAGCGGAGGCCAACCGTGCGTTCACGGCGCAGGATATCACCGAGGGCCGCACCGTTTACTCCCTGCACAGGTGACTGCCACCAGAGAATGCCATTGCTCAATAACGTGCCCAGGGACCCACGGGAAGGACTCAAGTCATCTGAGACCTGTATTGGGAACTTGCCAGAGACCCCAGCACCACCTCGAATTTGCACGGAATGGAGGAATTGCGGCCGTATTCCGCAACAGAGATCAACAGGACAAGGGAGAGAGTCAGGAAGAGCCAAAAAAAGGCACCCCAAACCCAAAAACTGGTTACACTTTCAGCCAGCATAAATAAAGGGTTTAGTAGTTAAAAACTAAACAAAACAAAAAAAATCAAATTTACAAGTTTCTGGTTTAAGAGAAAGATGAAGAAAAAACCTTACATTAAAAAAAAAAAAAAGTTCACTTTTTTTATTTTTTATTCTCAAGGAGTCCAGGATGTGGGCAGTGTGATCACCTGGCCACAGGATCCTAGCAAGTGTCAATGTCTCCTCACAGAAAATGATTATCACATGCTAATTTTCAAAATTAAAAAAAGTATTTCTCAGAACACTGAACACAACTAGAAGGGGGAAAACTGTTTCCCAGACTCAGGAAATAAAAGCTGTAAGAGCAACAGATTTCCAAGTGGACAAGTCAACATCGGTGTGGTACAGTCCAGCACATAAGATGATCTGCACCAGGGAAAAATTACCTCACCAAGAACTGAAGGCTCAAAAATAGACGCAACACCCGACTGAAAAAATATTACTGGACAACGAAATCTTTGTATCATCTGCACTTTGGCTTTATTTTTTCAATTGTGTATCAAGTTAAAGTGAAACATCCAGTGATTGAACACCAGTGTGAGGTAAATAACAGTCAAAGCTCACTGAACTCTGCCAATCAAGAAGCACAGTGTAGGATCAGTGTAATAAATCAGAATAATTTCCATACCTCTCGAGGATGCAAGGGCCATAGGATGAGGTCCAGCTTGGTGAGTGCCTGCTTTTAAGCACGTAACTACTTCCACTGATTTTGAGAACGTTACCCAAGCACTTTAGTTCAGGTATACAGATACGAAAAATAATACCTGTGTGAGTAAAAGTTTAGGTTAGGAATTCATCACTGGAAGCACTGAGAAGCTTTCCAAACCAATGGAAATTGTAACTCTCTCCAAGACCCACAACAATATAAAGAGACTGCAGTTAAAGCAAGAATGACCAGAGGCCCCAGTGGCTTGGGCAAACCCAGAATTTACAGCCTTTCCCAACATCCCACTGGAGAATTGTTCATGAATTTTCCAGACGGTTGAAAGACTGTTTGCTGTCCATCTTACACGACACAGCTCAGAAGAACCTGTCCACTCTAAAGGGTTCAGCCTCAACCCCACAATGAGTCACGTGCCATGATGTGACACTGAGCTCAGGGCCCACATGACTTACTCTACTTAAAAAAAATTAAAAAAAGCAATACTACAGCAGTTCTGCTAACTTCATGTTAGTCTTTCAACTTAGTCCTTCCCCCCATCCCTCTCTCTACTTCTCCCTCCCACCCTGATCTCATTTTTCCCATTTCCAATGAGATTTAGGAATCTGCCCAATGGCAGGTGGGTGGAGGCACTCCAGATACTATGTTTGTTGGTAGCCCAGCAGTTATTTGTGGTTGACTTTTTTGGTTGCCCACAGGAATTTCCAGGGTGGTGTAAACAGACAGATGTGGGCTCTTTTCTGCTATACAGATCACACCATAGAGAGATATCAAAGGGAAAAACCAAACCCATGAATAATGCACCAGTGGCAGCATCTGAAGCTCTGAACTTTAAAGACTGGCCTCTGAATTTATTGGTTTAATTGTTGGGTAGGGACATTCAGGCCACCAGATAGCTTTTGAAATCCAAACATCGCTGAAAGACTTCCCGAATATTTAGAAGTGTCTACAAAGCATAAGTGGGCTCAAGTACTGGCAAACTCTGAGCTGCTCCCGCCCTGACAGCACTGCCCTAATCTTACAGGCTGAAACTGCCCTTCCCTCCTTTCCCTCAGCAGCACAGTAGTGGTTTGATCTATTCCATAGCTCATCGCTGCTGTAACACTGGGAAGAAAAGGGGACGGTTCTGAGGGTAGGGGTGGCAAGGCAGATGTTTTGCTGGTGCAGATTAGTAAAGCTCCACTGCTCTCAGATTAACTCATTTTAGACAGGAAATTCACCCCCTTGTTCTCTTTTCCTGTTTGTTTCTACTGTTACTATTACATAAAAACTACTCGTCATGTGATTTTTGTGTGCCTTGTGCTTCCATAGAAGACACATGGTGACATCTTTTCCCTTGAGATGAACAAGCAGCCCACGATTAAAATCAAGTTGAGTCAATGGTGCAACTTGCCAATCGTTCTTACT